CACAAGGTCAGCAGTTCAAACTCACCAGCCGATCCTCAGAAACCCTATAAAGAGTTGCTGTAAGTTGAAACTGACTCTATATCACTTAACAACACCAATCTTTACAGAGGCAGACTGCCATATCATTCTCCTGCTGATGGGTTCAAATTGCTGACTTTTCCGTTAGCAGCCAAGTACATAACCAAGTGCCACAGGGCACCTGGCATAAAATAAGCATTTAATACTTGTTAGTTGATCAATACTAAATAACATAAAAAATGTGACTAAGTAGTTATTGAAACTATAGGTTAAAAAAAATAAACCACTTACCTGGTAGTAAAATTTTATCTGTCTCACCAAAATTGATAGGTTATGAATTCTAAGTGAAGCATCATTGTTGACTTTTTTATTTACTCTCTGACTCTCCAATTTAGGATTACTGTAAGAAATAGAAAAAAAAAAATATTTTAAACTAAAATTACACTTAAAATTACCCATCAACATATTCAAAGTTAGGCAGTGAAAATTAATCACATTAGCACTTTTTTTTTTTCTTTAAACACATTATGTATTCATCTTCACAGAGATGATCCAAAAGGATAGCTGACAACCAGGACAAGTATTCTGCACCTCCAATGAATATATGTTGTTGTTGTTGTTGTTGTTGTTGTTGTTGAGTAGATTCCAACCCATAGTGACCCTGTATAGGGTTTCCAAGGAGCAGCTGGTGAGCCTGAACCACCGACCTTGCAGTTCAAACGACTTTGCAGTTTGATGCATTAGCCCACAGCGCCACACCTGCATGTGGTATTTCAAGTCACACAATTTTATGGAGCTGATGCAGATTTATGACAGGCCCACTTAAGTCACTGAGTAGAACTGTGCTCTACAGGGTTGGTTTTCAATGGCTGATTTTTTTGGAAGCAGCTCACCAGGCCTTTTTTCCAAGGTACTACACTCAGTATTTCAACTTTTCAGTTATTAGCCAAGTTCCTTAAAAATTTGCATAACCCAGGGACTTTAACTTAGTGACAAAATAAATTTGAAATTTAAGTCACAAGTTCTTATTTTGTCTCTTCATATTCCAGGGATGAAACCTCATTCCTTTTGATTATATATTTTATCACCCAAAATAAATACACTTAAATCAAGAATTTAAAATGTGGGCTAATAATCAATAAATGCTATTTATCCTTGGTGCCAAAAACCCAAAGCCATGGCTGTTGTGTTGACTTGGCATCATAGTGACCCTGTAGGGCTGAGGAGAACTGCACCCATAGTATCTCCAAGGCGATATACAGCTTTCTGGAAGCATACTGTCATCTGGTTCTCCAATGGAGAGGCTGATAGTTCTGAATTGACAAGCTTTAATCACTTAGTCATTAAGTGCTTTAATCACTGTGCCACCAGGGCTTCTTCTTACTGGGTTTTTAAGCACTGTCAAGTTAGCTCTGACTCACAGTGTCCCTGTATAGGATTTCTGAGGAGTGGCTGGTAAGTTTGAACCACCAACACCTTGCGGTTCAAACTGACCTTGCGGTTGAGTAGTTATCCTACAGCACCATGCCAGGATCCCACCTTTCTGGGTTACAGGGGCTATATTTGAGCAGGCACTGTCCCAGGGGAACTGAAGAAAGAATGAGATAGGGGACAAAGGTGATTGTTGCTTTCTTGGGTAAATTTTGTCAACTTAATGAAACCAAAAGGCTAAATGATCCTATAATGGTATAAACTGAAGAAGGAAGACAACTGGATGACCAGGAAATTCAAGCAAAAGTGGTGGTGCTAGAATAGATAGGTAAATTGAGGCCAGGACATAAGGAGGTATGCACTAGTTCCTTGTTAAGGCAAACAGGTCAGGCTAGAGAAAGACATTGCCAAGTGAAACAGCAGACAATAAATCAGGAGACTGTAGGTGTGATCATTACTGAGGTTTTCCTGTTCCTAAGCTGTGTTAGTAAACAGACATAAGGACATACTTACATATACATACTGAAACCCACAAGTTCACATCAGTACCACTAATTCCAATTCAACCACAACATTCTCATTTTCTTCCTTCCCAAATGTGCAATTGCTTTCCACTATCCTGAGTACATTTACTTATTTGATTAATCCCTTCCATGTCACTGGTGTGTCCTCACCAATGTCTCACCAAGGTGAAAGCCAACCTCACTCATCTCGACATGTCACAGCAGGCCATCCCAACATAGAACATTCTCCTCACCCCATTCACACTCTGACTTCCCACACTGAGCTGCATGACATCGCATGCACCTATACCTGGCTGGGGTTCTGACATCCCACACCTGGATGCCACAGATGCTGCCAGGATGACTTCCCTCAACATTTTCTCACCTTAATTCCATTTGCTTTTTTCCCTATAATATATTCATGCAGTGTTTCATACAGTTAAATCTAAAACTCAATCTTCCTGACAATCCTAAAGTAGTCACTCAGCGAGCCCCACCGCATGACGTACCAACTATTTCCTTTTAATATCTCACTGTCTTTAAAACTCACTTTCTCATTAGACTGTAAGCTCCTACAGAGCAGCGGCAATTTCTTATTCATATTTTAACTCCAATAACTAGTTTATTTATTGGCACAAATATAGTTTGATTAAACAAAAACAATAAAGTATCTGGATCTAAACATAGTGTTTTAAAAACAGGTGCTTGAAGTTTTTAAAAAAAAACAACAAATGCTGGTGTGGGTGTGGAGAGACTCGGACCCTCCTACATAGCTGGTGGGACTGTAAAATGCTGCAATTACTGTGGAAAATGGTACGACACTGCCTCAAAAAGTTGGAAATAGCAACACTGCATGACCCAGCAATCCTTCTACTTGGTATACATCCCCAAAAATAAGAGCCACGACTCAAGTGGATCTATGCACACTCATTATTCACTGCAGCACTATTCACAATAACAAAAAGATGGAAGCAGCCTAAACACCCATCAATGGAAGAATGGATAAACAACTGTGATACATATATACAATGGAATGCTACGCAACACTTAAGAATAACTATGAATCTGTGAAACACTTCATAACATAGACGAAACTGAAGGACATTACGCTGAATGAAATCAGTAAATCACAAAAGGGCATATACTGTATGAAACCACTATTGTAAAAACTGAAGAAAAGGTTTTCATGCTAAAAGAAACTCATTCTTTGATGGTTACCAGGGGTGGGAGGGAGCGAGAGTAATTCACGGGCTAAGCAGTAGATATGAGTTAACTTGAGTGAAGAAGAAGAAGGAGGATGACAATAAAGAAGAAGAGGGAGGATGGCAGAAGAATGATAAAGGACAGGTGAAGACACAGATAGGAATTTGAGATTAAAAGGGATACAAGTAAGATATCGTTATATACAACCCTGCAAAAACAGTTTTCTACATGTAGATGCATGGACAGATACAAAGGTTGAACAAATATAAGAGGGCATAGTGGTTATGTTACAAATCGGGCTGCTAACTTCAAAGTCAACACTCTGAAATGATCAGCTGTTCCTCAGGAGAAAGATAAGGCTTTCTGCTCCCATTAAGATTGATCAGAACCCTATGCAGGGTCGCTATGAGTTGGAACTGACTCCATGGTACACCACCACCAACCACGACCACCCACAAATATATAAGGGGTGGCAGAGGATGTTTGTACATGGGTTATTTACCTTTGCAGCAAACACACCTATGAACGTGGTAAAACATACAGGGGACAAAATGAAGAAAACTTCCTGGATGTTACCAAATGCCTTGAGGCAACGAGTTACTGGGCTGGGATCTCAGGAGGATAGTTTCAGGGACACCGTGGTCAACTGGCATAACACAGTCCACAAAGACAATGTTCTACATTCTACGTTGGTGAGCAGCATCTAGGACCTAAGATGAAACTGTTGGTCTCTCCATGTGTGGAAGAAAGAAGAGTAATGAAAACTGAAGATGCTTGGAATCAACTATCCAGTGCACTAATGGAACATGTAAACATCAGTTCCTATGACTCTGACACCAGAAGAACTAGATGGTGCCCAGCTACCACTATCAACTGCTTTGAAACAGATCACATTAAAAGGTCTCGGATATAGTGGGAGACGGTGTGTAACAAAACTCACAATTATAAAAAAGACCAGGCTTCCTGGTCAGGAAGAAACTGGAGGAACCCAAGAGTAAGGCCCTAGAGGTCACCCTCCAGGTCTGGAATGGAATTCACCTTTTATGGTCCAATTTTCAAGCTAGTGACAGACACATATATATGGGGGACAATAACACCAGTGAGGTAAGCTCACCATGGAATGGAATGGTCAACCATTCAAGATCAAAAGGGTAACATTTAATTGGGGACAAAGTTCAGAAGGGTTGGGAAGAAAGGTGGAATGGAAATAGGAACTCTGGGAGGAAGGGAGATAACTGTAGTTATATGGAGGGTATTAACTTGACTTAGCATCGCTGTTTCATTGCAACCACTGCAATGAATAACCTATGTGATTTCTTGGATGTAAAACTAATGATCTGCTCCGTAAAATTCCACTCAATTCACAATAAAACGCTTAAAAAAATACTTTGAAAAAACACAGTTGCCTCAACAAAATCCTAGCCAACAGAATTCAACAACACATCAAAAAAAAAAAAAAAACAATCAGTGTAATCCAACATATAAATAAGAAAAAAGAAAAGAACCACATAATCATATCAATTGATGCAGAAAAGGCATTTGATAAAATCCAACATCCATTCCTGATAAGAAACACTCAACAAAGTAGGAATTGAAGGGAAATTCTTCAACATAATTAAGAGCATATATACAAAACCAACAGCTAACATCACTCTTAGTAGAGAGAAACTGAAAGCCTTCCCCTTGAGAACAGGTACCAGATAAGGGTGCCCTTTATTTCCACTCACTCCTAATCAATATTGTTTTGGAAGTCTTAGTCAGCTATAAGGCAAGATAGAGAAATTAAAGGCATCCAAATTAGCAAATAGGAAGAAAAACTCTATTTGCAGATGATATGATCCTATATATAGAAAACCCCAAAGACTCAGCCAAAACTACTGGGACTCTTTGGAAGATTCAGCAAAATGGCAAGGTAGAAGATCAACATACAAAAATCAGTTGGATCCCTCAATACTAGTAATGACAACACTGAAGAGGAAGTTAGGAAAGCAATACCATTTACAATCGCCGCCCAAAGGATATATATTTCATTAGGAATAAAAGTAACCAGAGAAACAAAGGACCTATAAAAAGAAACCTACAAAACACCACTACAAGAAACCAAAAGAGACTTTCAAAAATGGAAGAATATACCATGTTCCTAGAAAGAAAGACTTAACATTGTGAAAATGTCAATACTGCCCAAAGCAATCTACAAATATAACACAATCTCAATACAGATTCTGAAAACATTCTTTAGAAAGATGGAAAAAAGAATTACAAA